ATGTGTTTTCTGAGCATCATGCATGATGCGAATGTAGTCTGTAGTGTTAAGACCGTAGGACCTGTTGAAGTTTCAATTTAGGAAAATGAGGGTTGTATCAGTACACGGTGGATGAATAGATAAATAGATAGATAGATAGATAGATGGATGGATGGATGGATAGATAGATAGTCAGAAAAGAGAGAAAAAAAGGAGACCTCAAGCACCTTCCGGTCCATCAGTGGATTCACTCTGCCATCCTGGATTCACAACAACCAAGCTCTCCTATAGGTTTCCTATTTTTGAAACTTCCGCCACGGCCTTGTGCGGTACTACTGGTAATTGTAGTAGTAGTGTAGTGTAGTGGTACTTGTAGTTGTAGTTGCAGTTGTAGTTGTCTCTCTATCTATCTGTCTATCTGCCAGATTGAAAACAAAGCTATTCTGCGAGACTTCCTCAGTTTTTGAACTTGACAACGTCAAAACGCAGCAATTCAGCAAGACTTGCTGAATTTTGAACTTGGCAACGTCGAAAACGAAGCAAGTCTGCGAGACTTCCTCATTTTTCATTTCAGCAAACCTGAAGATCTGATGCTCTAAAATGCAACCCCCCTCAGGAAATCAGCGCCCGGACCTCCTAACAGCTCTGATGAACATGTCTCTTGTACTGCGCCTGCCACAGAAAATGCATCTTTGCAGATCCTCTTCAAATGCCCCACGCCTGCCATGGTTTTTGAAATGCTACAAAACTTTCACGTTTTGCTCACTTCTGACGATGTGCACCGTGCCACGCAAAACGACATCTGAACCCCCAAAAGTGCTCCGAACCCCACAGTTTTTTCCACTTTTGACTTCGAAATGTGCTTCGCGCCACAACGGCGTGCACTTCTTCGACATCGCAACTTCCAAAAGTGGTCCAAACCTGGTGTGTTTTGTACATTTTGACTTCGAAATGTGCTTCGCGCCAGAACGGCGTGCACATTTTTGATATCGCAACTTCAAAAAGTGCTCCGAACCCGTCAGTTTCTTGCACTTTTGACTTGGAGATGTGCTTCAGCGCTACAACGGCGTGCAATTTTTCATCTCTCATCTGGCCAGCTGGCTCCGCACCCGCCGCTTTAGCGAGCCTACTTTTCGACCTCCCGGAGCCACAAATCATTGGAAAAACACAGTGTTTCGCGACTTTCCTACCTTTTCGCGCACCTGGATCTTCTTTCTTCCGAGACTTTCTCTTTTTTGATCTTCTTTCTTCTTCTCTTCTCTTCTCTGGCTCTTCCCATCTCTGCTCTTCATCTGTCCATATTGTCGGAAGTTTGACTTCTAAACTTCCTTCAACAACTACACTAAATTACACAACGCTACACTACACAAATTACACTACTTTACACTACAACTGCATCTACCACTACATTGCACCACACGACACTACACTACAACTACAACTGCACGACTTTACGCTACAATACATTGGGAACACTACACTATACCACGCTACAGTACAGAACACTACAGTACACTACAATACACTACACTAATTACACCACACCACCAACTACAACTGCAACTGCAACGACACTAAACTAATTACACTACATTGCAGCTACACCTTAAAACTACAACTCCACTACACTACAACTACACCTACAACTACAACTACAACTGCACTACACCACACTACATCCAGCAGTTGTGGTGAGGTGACCACTGCAACCATTGCAGCCACTCCAGAAAACACAACTCCAACCACCTTTCGGTCCATCAGTGGGTTCACTCTGCCATCCGGGATTCACAACAACCAAGCTCTCCTATAGGTTTCCTATTTTTGAAACTTCCGCCACCGCCTTGTGCGGTACTACTGGTATGTATGCATGGATGCATGGATGCATGTGTGTATGTCTGTCTGTCTGTCTCTGTCTCTGTCTCTGTCTCTGCCTGTCTGCCTGCCTGTCTGCCTGCCTGTCTGCCTGCCTGTCTGCACTGCCTGTCTGCCTGCCTGTCTGCCTGTCTGCCTGCCTGTCTGTCTGTCTGTCTGTCCGTGCGTGTGTGTGTGTGTGTGGGTGGGTATGTATGCAGGTAATGCAATGTAATGTAACGTAATGTAAAAATATGCCAATGTAAATATAAATGTAAATGCAACGTAATGTAATGCGACTGTGTGTGTGTGTATGTCCGTGTATGTATGTCTGTCTGTATGTCTGTATGTCTGTAGGTAGGTATGCGGGTATGTAGGTATGTCTGTAGGTAGGTATGTATGTATGCAGGTGGCCATGTAGGTAGGTCGGTAGGTGGGTCGGTAGATATGTCTTAGTGTAGTGTAGCGTAGTGCACTGTCTTACTTGTACAGTTGTACAAGGTATTCGTGCAATCTATTTGTGTGGTGTATTGGTGCAATGTACTACTGCATTTATATAACCGTATGTAAAAAGTGTGATGTCATGTAATGAAATGTCATCATGCAATGCCATGTCATGTCATGTACGACAGTGTATGAATGTAATATATTCATGTATACTATAGTACATTCATGGGGTGTGTGTGTGTGTGTGCGTCAAGATTATATTGGCTACACATCTGTTCCGAGTCACCCAAGGTGGGCCTTCTGTCATCTCCATGGAAGTCTCATCTGGCCCGGAAAATGGGACGAGGCCAGCAGCTTCTGGGGATGCCGCACCTGCGCAGAGCATTGACCCAAAAGTTGTCAAACAACATTGCTATGATTGCTATGTTGTCAAACATTGCCCAAACATATCTAAGGTATCTAAGTCATTGACAAACACTGCCCTGATTCCAGCTCTTGGCGTCTTTGTTTGGCTTCGTTTATTTTACGTTGAGGACGCCCTGCGAGTGGGGACATTGTCAAGATGAGGAGTATTGCAAAGGATCAAAAAGGAGCAAAACAGTGAAGGAGAACCACTAGCTGAATGCAAGCAACACCAAGAGCAACACAAAGACCAACGGAAATTAAGAGCACTCAATTGGTTTCCACACCTAAGCTATATAGGCCTAGGCTATCAAGCAAAAAATGACCCTGCACTGACTGCGAAAAAAACTGCGCAGACAGGCCAAACGCGAAACCATTGTACTCTTTGGGGAAGTAGAGCGCATAGATCAGATCAACTAGATAGCCCATTCCTCCAGACACAAAGGGTGAAAAATGAAATCCTAAGGCACTATCAATACTACCTCAGCGCATCTAAAACTCTTGACGCACTGGCCATGCAGTGGTCCCAGAAGTATTCAGGAATTCTTTGCGATACAGCATCTCGACGTGTCCCTTGACAAATGTCAATCGTGTGCGACACAGGTTACCTGTGTGTTTGCATGAATCCCTGCAAGGGCTCGAAGAACAAATCGCTAACAGCTTTGAACATGTATTTCCTCAGGGAAACACGGAGCACACACTACTTTGACTTGGAGACCAATCAATTCGCTTTCCAGTTTTTGTCAAATTTGGCTGGCATTGGCTGACCAAATCAACACGTTAAAACAATCACAACTCTCTGCGCCTCTTCGCCAAGAACCAAATCGACGGGCAGACCTCACAACCTGGGCCAAAGGTAATGTTTGGAACATTCTCGGACTTGGTACTGATACATACCGAAACACATGTAGCACATCTAGGTCAAATTAAGATAAAATTTATTCCTGAATTCGTGCAAAAAAGGACATGGCGCTTGTGATCCATGCCCGAGCGAAAACACCCCCACGGCCACCACTGGCCACCGCCACATCCACCACTACCGCCACCGTGGCCACCATGACCACCGCAGCAACGGATCAAAACAGCCAAGCAATGCCAAGCATGTCGGTCCAAAAACATGTTGTTCATCCCTTTGGCAGTGAAATTTGTAATTATCCAGCATATTGCAGCCACCATATGCCACAACATGCCACACCTCCAATAACGAAACCGGACTGTCTCACAACTCTGAGAAAGATTGTGAAACATCATGTAGTAGATCAGAGGTAAAGATTTTGAAAGAGGAGCGATGGATACTTCCAAAAAGGAGAATTCAGCAAAGTTCGCCACGGCGAAGAAGAAACAAGTGCTAGTTGACAAATTTTGGAAGTTCGTTGAGTCACAGTGCGCTCCTCAGCAAAAACTGTTTCATGTTCACTGGAACGAGCAGTGTTTTTGAAGAATAAAGTTGCACTGATGAGAACAGAAGATGTTTCCTTCACAAGTAATGCACCAGTCTTTGCACGTGCAATTTGCGGCATGCCTTTGAGGACCAAACGACGCAAAGAAAACATCCTGGCAGTTCAGCACAAGATGTTAGACCAACGATACATCTCTTGCCCTGTGATGCTTGTTGTTGAAGACATCAGTCAACCCCCTTTTCCTCCCCGACATTACTAGTGGTGAAAGAATATAGATGAATAATATGTATACGTATGGCTTGTTGTGCCCGTTCTCCTACCTCGAAATTTACAAGTATGATTTGACATGTAATCAATGTAATCAGGCATGCTGCTGAATCACATTTACAAGGAAATGTCTTTGTTTGGAGCCTGTCAGCACCAGCGTTATGAAACGCAGCGAATTGGCCGCTGCAAAGGACGACTGCATGCGCTTCAAAAGGCCTGCCTGGAGAGCCCAAGATTCCAACAAAGGAATACAAGCTGTTCTGTGCAGCTTGTTCAAACATTGCTCAAGCAGTTTCTGATCTTATCAAATCGTTTAACCCTCCTACATCGAAAGAAGCAGCTACTCAATGCCGGCGAAGGTCCCCCAACGTTGCAATCAACCGTCATTCCCGCACGGAACTACGCCCCCCAACTGCTAGGAAAAGTCACCCCAACTTTTTCGCCCATTGTAAACGCAGCACGAAAATGAAAAAGTACAAAAAACTATCATCCCAAATGTGCAAATCACCATGAGAACGCAAGTCACCCCAATGGTTTCAAACTATGGAAAATTATAAACAAAATGACATGATTCAATATCAGAACACCATGTAAACGCATGATTCATGTATGTTTCGGAAAATATCTTTTTTTGTTGCAAAACACATCTAATTCTAATGTTCGAAGTATAACAAGTACATCAAAGAAATGTCATCTTTGGGTTCAAAACACAATGTGAACGCATGATTGTATGTTTTGGTATGTTTTGGTAACAAATCTATGGGGTTCTGATTTGCATCTCAACTTAATACTTCTGCAAAGGGTTCCGAACAAGGCCAAAAACGAGGCCAAAACGAGGCCCAAACGAGGCCAGAAAATAGCTTTGGAGCCCCCTCAGCTTTAGCAGCAGTTTACCACCAGCCCGGCAGCAAGTCCCTAGCAGGAGTCTAGAAGCAGTCTGGCAGCAGCTCAGCAGCAGTTTGCACGCTGCCCGTGGTGAAATCCGGCAGCCATTTGGCAGCAGCCCAGCATTAGCCCGACAACAGCCTAGCTGCAGACCAGCATCTACTGTAATTAGATGAATCAATGCAACTACTCTAGAAAGGCACCCCCCCGGCAGGGCGACATGCAAACACGTGACTGGATTTGCTCGAAGGTCACATGAATGAGCCAGGCATGACAAAAAAACAAGTTCACCAGTGTAAACACAAGCTAAATGAAGCATATTTTACTTCTAAAGCATCGTTTTCTATCTTACGCAACTGCTCCACAGCATGTAAACGCATGTTGGGGCGACTTTCCCGGGAAGTCCCCCCCAACTAAACGCAAGATTTTGGATTGTGGATCGCGGCGGATCGGAATCCACATTGGGTGGTATAGATCCAACCTTGCAGGCTACCCCAACCGTCCCGACCATCCCAACCATCCCGACCGTCCCTACTGAAACCCTAAAGAAACCCTAGTGAAGCCCTTATGCCGACCATCCCGACCATCCCGGCCATCCCGACCATCCCGACCATCCCGACCATCCCGACCATCCCGACCATCCGACCATCCGACCATCCCGACCATTTATCCACGATGTTGATCAAGGATCGTCTTTGATGCTCATCCTGCGACGCTGATCCGAACCTTTGGATGTTGATTCCGGACGCTTCTCTGTGACGCTGATTCGACTCGATAGTTTCTGAGAGGGAATTTACTCGACATGTCAAGATTTGAAGCCGCATCTTTGCAAGTCTGCTCCAGGTCTGCCGAACCTCCGGTTCCTCTCCGTGCTTGCAACCGAACCTAAGCGCAAAATCTTGGGTATAACAGTGTTTGAGCAACTCAATTGCTTAAATGACGAATTCCGTTTTTGAGCCAGCTGCAAAATCGGCGATGGAAGGCGGGCCTCTTGCTGCAGAATCTCCCAGTTTTTTGGCCACACCCACCTGCAACCAGAAACTCTCGATATCTCTCGATAAGCACTCAGCTTGGACAAGCTTGGACAGCAAACACAGCACACCCGGGGGGGCCACAAGCGCTGCGAAAAAGGATGTGTTTTGGGCCTGAGACGGAGGTGCCTTACTGAAGGCAGCAAGCCGACGCTCAAGCGACGAAAGCCCACACTTCCTCGGTAGAAGCCTTGGCAAAAGGCAGAAAAAAAGCAGACCAAGCCTTCTAAGCAAGGCTTCTAAGCAAGGCTTGTTGTATGCTCTTCGTGTATGCTCTTAGATTCTTGTCATCTTCCATCAGCATGGACGTTGACCAAGGATATGTCATGAAATGTCCCTATCAGACCAAGAGATTCTAATTCTTACACTGCTATTTCCAAAAGCAATGCTTCTTGACGGCTTTTTTGCTACTTTACCGCTAAAGTAGGAAGGTTTCGTCAAAGCCCAAAAAGGTTTGACATGGAATGCAGTTTGTGCTTCTGCTTCTCTTTCACGTGACCTGTGAAGCGAACTCACCCCTTTAGCAGAGACAGTGAAATTGCCAAAGCTCTGGACCACTTCTCTTCCATTCCTCACCATCCACGTCGGTGCTATACCTTCCCGTGGCCATGGCAGGAGCTAAGATGTTTGAATCAATCCAAAATCACAAGAACTGAGGGGAAGAAAACTGACTCATACGCATGAGCCGCAGAATTATCTTGTGATTGACAACTCTCTTCTGGAGAATTGCTTGGTGATGTCGGCTAGAGAGATTCCCGGCGGTGGTGCTCAGTTGAGCTTGCTTCAGGTCACCAGACACTGTACATGCAAATCCTTAAGGGATAAAGTCGAGATGACCAGACACTCTGCCATGGAGACTGTTGTTGTTGCCATTGCTAAGGACAGATTAGCTCGTGTAGCTATTGGGAAAGGCAATGCTGTAGGCCTACATTCAGATGCCGGGTGAGCCCAATAGCCCATGCGCCCAGGCACCAGAGGTCAAAGTCTGGAACTTGATCGTCATTCAGGGAGATACCTCCAGCACTTGGCTCTGATAATTCAATGCCAAAAAATGGTGCAAACCGACATCAACCCCACCCCAGCTGGAACAATTCTGGAACAACGGTAGGAAGCTGGAACGGAGCTAGAACAGGTGCAGTCACAACAGTTTGCAAAAAACTTGTTCGAACTTGTTTGATTGTTGCTGCTGCTGAATTCAAGTGAGAACTCTCAGGCAATCGATGGATTTTCGGAAAAACCAGGCTCATGCTTTGGTTCAAGCTAAACCGGGGCGAATGGGTTCGGCTCAGGTTCCCACAAATCTACGGAAAAAGAAAAGATACTAAACTGGAGGACTGGCAAATATAATTCGGTCGAAGCATCGACAAAGATTGTATATGTAATAATAAATACCTGAGGGGCCGGCTTATCAATGGTGGTTTCAAATTCAAATTGGACAGTAGGCTTTGCTGATAAACAAAACAGAGACACCAAAAGGAAAAAAGACTTCTGGGGGATCCGTCCTCCTCATCTACAGGCTGTCATACAACATCAGTCCACAAGTATCAGTTTTCCATCGGAGTCTATTTCCAACCTTCACTGACTTCTCTTTGGTGCAAATCACTTAACGGCACTTCCTGTGCCAATTTTCCCTCATTAAGCTGTCATCTCCGCAGCTCATTGCCTGTGATGTCGACAGTGTTGGTGAAGCTGAGCCATTGGTCAATCCAGCCCCAAGGCAGCGCAACTCTCGCCGTCTTAGCCAGCAAGCTGTTTGATTGTGCTTCCCCCTGTTGGAATTGCTAGCCTCTTGCACTTTGTGGAATGAATTGGAATAAGGATGAATAAGGTATCTCCTTTGGTCTTATCAACCTCTGGACAACTTGTAAAGTCTAGCAGCACATGTCCAACCTGATGTTTGTATGATTCCAATAATGTGTTGGCGTGTTGGTGCGTCCGGCGTGTACAGTCCTCATTACTCCTTTGTGCCTGAGTGTCTGGCGCAATTGTAATCTTGGAATCCGCTGGACGCATTGATCTGTTCGTCAAACACCGGCCTGTGCAAGTCTGGCTGTGCAGGCCTGTGATGCACATCCTGGAGACGTAAGGGCATTCCAACCAAGCATACAGCAACACACAGTGTATCTACTTCATCCACTTTCAAGCTGGAAGACCATAGTACTGTCTTTGCTTTCGGAAAATTGAGTTCTTCATGAAGAGAATGACAGGTTCTCTTACCTGGTCAGGCTTTGCTTCCGGCAGTTCCACAATAAGTAGAGGCTGTCGCAGCCGACGTGGAAATATTTTGGGATATGGCCTGCCTGTCGCCGCGAGTTGCCCTGGCCTGCTGCGGCAGTGAGCAATGAGCGATTCCAAGTCTTCTGAGCCTCAAAGGAATAAATGTCTGAAACTGGGATCTATTGAGTACAGTAGACTCAGTAGACGTCAAGAAACATCAACTTGATATAGTCCTGACGGAAAAATATCGAAATACGCGTGAAATATAGACTTTGAATTCCAGGACAGCATCCAGCAAGAGCGGATTATGGTTGAAAACGAACCATGTTGATTCAGTAGAGAAGCAGTCTTTGTGCGGATCCGTGGTCCTGCAGCCAGCGCGACCACAGTCACAACCTTGGAATCAGGAAAAGGAACACGAATAGGATGTTGACTTTTGCTTGAGCATGCTTGAGCAAACTGTGCCTCTTAAGCGGGTCAGTACATGTCAATACCGCATTGTGACAACATGCTCCACCTCGCATTTTGATCATGTTGAACCCCTTGGAGTCCCAGTCACATGTTACATCACAAGGGGAATATCCACAGCAAAACTCCCCGTGCGTGAGCTGTTGCTGAGTGTTGTCAGAGCAGGTGCCGCCAGCACTCCTCAGCACTGCCAGGTACTGCGAGGCTCGCACCTTTCTGGTAGCATATTATGAGTTCGTATGCAAGGTGATGTCCATGGATGTCACAATGGATGTCCTACCCACTGGCTATCCATGCTCCAGAAGCAAAACTTAGGCTGAATAGGTTTTAAGTTTGTGACAGCCAGTTGTTCCAGGACTCTGCTAGGGGAGACACCTATAACTTGGCTATAAGGCTATAACCTCTTTGCCAAGATACGGCCAGCAGCAGTCTGCTCCTGCCAATGCCTGACAGCTCCATTTCAGAGGCAGCCGATGATGAAGCTTTCTGCCACCACCATTGACAAGGAAGAGAAAACAGAGGGAAAAAGACAGCAACACCGTCCTTACTTGACGGGCAGCCTGCCACATACATGTGTGCAAAGGAATGCAGGGCATTTGCAAATATAGCGACAAGTTGCTTTGAACATCAGAATGCAACATACTCTTGTATGTAACCGACTTGCAGTCTCATTCCTTTCCATAGCAAGCCCTGCCACCAAAGGCAAGATACAAGCAATACCACCAAGCTCAACACGAGGCCCGGCATTGCGAAGGATAAGCATGAGTTGCTTTCCTGAAATGTAATCAGACTACTAAATGATCCACACAATCGAAGCAAACTGTCTAAACAGATAATTAACCAGAATGGCGCGATATGCTGTCAACTATATAATTGTATAGTGCTACCGTAATTAGTAAATCAGGCATTAGATTCAGTGGACTGAAAAGTTGATCATTTCGAAGTGTTGTCTGCGTTGCAGAGAAACATGATACTTTCATGGTCACAACGTATTCAAAACATGATAGCTTGAGCATCCTCGAACAGCAAAAGACTGCAGGATGAGATCAGCGATCGCAAAAGTCATCGAAACATAATAATCATAGCCAAGCGTTCAAGACCTAGAAGAATTCCCTCCACTGGACTTCAAATTGGCTCCAATTGATGCGTCTTTGAGGTCTCAGTGCTCTGCTGTGGCAGTCGCGTCCTGCATGCTTTCCAGAAGGTCTGTCCTGTGACCAGTGGGGGGTCTGTGTTTCTGCTGTTCAAGCATCATTCTCCAGTGTCTACCCTTGTTGCAGACTGTGTAATGCATGGGACATCAGAATCATCAAGAAGTTTGAAACGAAAGTAATTGCGATCGCGCAGCATCTTTGGGTGAAAACTTGTTTGCGCCGACCACAGAAGCTCACTTGCGCCGACCAATTAAGGTTTTAAGCTAATCATGCACTACCTTTATTGGGACAGGGGACCTGGGGTGGTTAGGACAACCTGGGAGCCAAAATCCTCTTGGAACGCCCAGAATCCTCCCTCTGACCTGGGGGCCAGAATCCCCCGTCTCTCTATAAAGTCACAACATTTGGGGCTTAGCATCAGTGTGCAATGCATGACATGATGTTGATCCTGGACGCTACGGTATGACAGTCTGGGACAACTCAAAATGCTAGCTGCTTCTTCAGTTGCTAGCCAAAAGAACAGCCAACACAGGCACAATCGAAACAGTTTCGCAGGCATAAATTATTGACTTTCCTCATTTTGTAGGCTTGACTTCATTGTGGATTCCGTCTTTCAATCCAATCAAAACGTCGGTCAGAGTACAGCGAATGTCCGGCGACGTCACTGGGTCACCGAGCAGCTGTTTCTTTGCCAACTCCCGTGGTTCGTCCTTACGAAGTGTTTGTTGTCGTTGCAGCTGCTCCTGATATGGCTGCTTTCATGCTTGGTGCTGCTTGCGCACAAGCACGATTGGTGTTGTAGCCCACTGTGCCACTATCAATCAGAAGCACCATCAAAGCGGCTGCTCCAACATTGCTGTTTCAACATTGAACTGTTCTAGTTCCTGCGGTTCTACAGTATTTTTTCTGTGCCGACATGAGTGCAACCTAGCTCTGCAGTGGCCTCTGCCATGGCTCTGCCGTGGCTCTGCCGTGGCTCTAGGTGCTGTGAAACGGTGGCAAGCTAGTCGAAAGAGCTCCTGTGCACATGTGATAGCCATTCCAATTACCAGTATTGTGGATGAAATTTACTGGTGCTTTGCAGCAACACTTCAATTTCCCGACGCAATCGTCTTGATGCGGACTATCAGGTTGAACTTCGTTTCGGATCCACAACCTGTTTCTGCAGCCAGGACAGCGGTTTCGACTCGACTGATCTTCTTCGAACCTTTCCACTGCTTCAGCCAGTTCCTCTGCAGAGGACACCTTGAGAGTGATTTTCTTGTGGTCTGCCTGCAAGTGGAATCTAAGCCTCAACCACTTCTTCTGAGCAACTGCCTTTGGTGCTGGCTTGGTAGCTGGCTTGGTGGCTGGCTTGGCGGCTGGCTTAGCAGCTCCCTTCGCCAGAGTTTCGGCCACCTTCGAGCCTCTTCTTTTTCGGGCAATGACCAACTTCTTTCCGAACCCTTGGACCATAGGATGTCCTTTTCCCCTTTCCAGAGCCCAAGGGTCCTTGGCTGGATTTGCCCAAGGATCCATCCCGCTGCCACATCACCCGCATCTGCCACTGGATTTTTTCCCCCACATCTTTGTGTGGGGTTCTTGTTTTTTGTTATGCGCTCCCGTCCGTAGCCTTGCCTTGCCCTTCGCCGCAATTTACTCACACACAGTCCTCTCGCACACAACTCCCTCACACACAACTCTCTCACGCACAACTCCCTCACACACAACTCTCTCACACACAACTGCCTCACACACAACTCTCTCACACACACAACTGCCTCACACACAACTCTCTCACGCACAACTCCCTCACACACAACTGTCTCACGCACAACTCCCTCACACACAACTCTCTCACACACAACTCCCTCACACTGTGAGCCTCACACACAACTCTCTCACGCACAACTCCCTCACACACAACTCTCTCACGCACAACTCCCTCACACACAATTCCCTCACACACAGCTTACTCACACACAACTGCCTCACAGACAGTTCTCTCACACACAACTCCCTCACACACAACTCTCTCACGCACAACTCCCTCACACACAACTCTGTCACACACAACTCTGTCACACACAACTCCCTCACACACAACCCCCTCACACACAACTCTCTCACACACACCTTTCTCACACACAACACCCTCACACACAACTTACTCACACACAACCGCCTCACACACGATTCTCTCACACACAACTTACTCACCCACAACTCTCTCACGCACAACTCCCTCACACACAACTCTCTCACACACACACACACCTTTCTCACACACAACACCCTCACACACAACTTACTCACACACAACCGCCTCACACACGATTCTCTCACACACAACTTACTCACCCACAACTCTCTCACGCACAACTCCCTCACACACAACTCTCTCACACACAACTCCCTCACACACAACTCTCTCACACACAACCGCCTCACACACAATTCTCTCACACACAACCCCCTCACACACAACTCTCTCACGCACAACTCCCTCACACACAACTCTCTCACACACAACTCCCTCACACACAACTCTCTCACACACAATTCCCTCACACACAACTTACTCACACACAACTGCCTCACACACAGTTCTCTCGCACACAACTCCCTCACACACAACTCTCTCACACACAACTCTCTCACGCACAACTCCCTCACACACAACTCTCTCACACACAACTCCCTCACACACAACTCTCTCACACACAATTCCCGCACACACAACTTACTCAGAGACAACTGCCTCACACACAATTCTCTCACACACAAATTTCTCACCCACACACCTCTCTCACGCACAACCCCCTCACACACAACTCTCTCACACACAACTCCCTCACACACAACTCTCTCACACACAACTCTCTCGCACACACAACACCCTCAAATCGACTTTCACTTTGTGTGGCAGGTGTGGTAGGCGTCGCGCTTATGGCACTGGCCTGGCTCTGGTGGCGCGCTTGGTTCCCTTTGCCGTCGTTGTCGTCGCCGCTGTTTGTGTGGCAGGCTTGGCATTTGGAAGTCATTGACCTCCATTCTGTGTGGCAGGTGTGGCACTTGGAGAAATCGACCTTCACTTTGTGTAGCAGGCGTGTCACTTATGGCACTGGCCTGGCTCTGGGCGCGCTTACTTCCTGTTGTCGCCGTTGTTGCCGTGGCTGTTTGTGTGGCAGGCGTGGCATTCGGAAGCATCGACCTCCATTCTGTGGGGCAGGCATGGCACTTGGCGACATCGACCTTCACTTTGTGTGGCAGGCGCGTCGCTTTGGCACTGGCCTGTCTGGTGGTGCGCTTGGTTCTCGTTGTCACCGCAGCTGTTTGTGTGGCAGGCCTTGCATTTGGAAGCATCGACCTTCACTTTGTGTGGCAGGTGTGGTAGGCGTCGCGCTTATGGCACTGGCCTGGCTCTGGTGGCGCGCTTGGTTCCGTTGTCGCCGTTGTCGTTGCGGCTGTTTGATGTCAGGCGTGGCATTTGGAAGTCATTGACCTCCATTCTGTGTGGCAGGCATGGCGTTTGGCGCAACTGTCTTGGCGCAACTGTCTTTGGCCACACATGCCACACATCAATTTCACACACAACTCTTTCACATACAACTCTCTCACACATAGCTCTTTCACACAATCTCTCTTCCACCATCTCCACTACTCACACACACAACTCTCTCACACACAACCTTCTCACACGCACACACACACTTGCTCAGAACAATCTTTGCAGATTCTGATGTGGAATGCATCTTACCTGCAACAACACTCCAATTACACTTGACAGGAATGGGTGGGTGAAAAGACCCGGGCAAGTTCGAAAAGTTACCATCACCATTGCCAAAGCTAGATGCAATGAGTGTGAAGCCGACCCTTCCCTGCAATTGACAAAAAGAGATGCAGATTGCGACAACAGTGCCGTAAAAACAGGAAACCCTCCAAATAATCGACATGCCGGTTCTTGGCTTAGCCGGTTGCCATTGGCCATCAACGAGAAATTGCAAAACCGAGATTGAAATGGCAGGTATGCTGGGTTGATCGGACCCAGTATCCCATGATTGTGGTAGCTTCGTTGAGTGCGGTCCCACAATCATGCCGCACTCCCCTGCTACAAATCAGGTAGAAGTTTTACATCTATTCAGATGTTTCACGCACACGCCCTGCTGCCGCGGGGCTTTTTAAGGCTCCGACAAATGAGATGAAGGTGAAAATGACAGGAAAATGGAAATGAGATGGCGATGAAAATGAGATGACAATTACTTAACCGGAACACAAGAGGGGGAACGCAAAAAATGAAAGGAGAAATGGAAAACACCAACACCAACCAACTAGCCCAAACCGGGCAAACCCTGAAAGGGCAAGGGAAAAGAAAAAGCGGACGGACGACGGGCCAAACACCAACCAGAGGAGGGGGGGCAGACGGAAGCGCCTGACAAAACCTACAAGGCGAGAGCCAAAACCTACCTCGGCATGCGAAGGACCCAAACCTGACCTAGAGAGGAGCACGCATGAGATAGGGGACCAATGGGGAACTAGTTGATGAGATTTGATGCATCCACACTGTCATGCAGAATCCCCTGTTCAGGCTCAATGGCCGAGACGTCGAGTCAACCCCATAAACGGCTGTCAGTAGTCAGAAGTGAATTACGTGCACATTTGAACCGTACCAGAGTAACCAAAAGAAAGTGACCACACCTGGAAAGCATGTCCTGTGCCTTTCCTCTCATGAAGCATGCATGACATGGGATCTGTCTCTTGAGCATCACTGAAAGAAAGAAGTGTTGGCACGGCTTCCAGCTATGCAAAAAAACGATCCATCTCAGAAAAAATGGTGCCCAGTACAGCGGCAAGCTGTCAACATGTCGACAACAACCGGTGAAACCATGAAAGAAGGCCGACTGTTGCACTTTTCTTAGACGAATTACTACGTTGAAAAATGCAATTTCAGAGATCAGAAAAAGAATTCACTCTCCTACCTGGCAAAGTATTCCCCGAAGGGGTTCATGCCACCGTGACGAATCCAGCACGAATCACACACTTGCTCAGAACAATCTTTGCGAATTCTGATGTGGAATACATCTTACGTGCAACAACACTCCAATTACACTTGACAGGAATGGGTGGGTGAAAAGACCCGAGAAAGTTCGAAAAGTTACCATCACCATTGCCAAAGCTAGATGCAATGAGTGTGAAGCTGGCCCTTCCCTGCAATTGACAAAAAGAGATGCAGATTGCGACAACAGTGCAGTAAAAACAGGAAACCCTCCAAATAATCGACATGCCGGTTCTTGGCTTAGCCGGTTGCCAGTGGCCATCAACGAGAAATTGCAAAACCGAGATTGAAATGGCAGGTATGCTGGGGTCATCAGACCCAATATCCCATGATTGTGGTAGCTTCGTTGAGTGCAGTCCCACAATCATGGGGCACTCCCCTGCTACAAATCAGGTAGAAGTTTTACATCTATTCAGATGTTTCACGCACTTGCTGAGAACAATCTTTGCGAATTCTGATGTGGAATGCATCTTACGTGCAAAATACACTCCAATTACACCTGACAGGAAGGGGTCGGCGAAAAGACCCGAGAAAAATCGAAAAGGCATCATCGCCATGTCCAGTGCTAGATAAAGTTAATTGACAGATTGCGTCAGCAGTGCAGAAATTGAAATGGACATCAGAAAAAAAACAGAAATGGCAGAGAAATCGAAATTGACGTCATGCCGGTTCTAGGCTTAGCCGGATGCCATCAGCGAAAATAAATGAGATTGTCAAAGTGATCTTGCAAGCTATGTCCACGACATCCATGCCAAGATCTGCAGGTACAGGTGAATGATCAGTTCACCCTTCCCCCATCATACCATAGCTTCGTTGCGTCAGGTAGGTATGATGGGCCTGACGCCCCTGCAGGAAAATCGAGTAGAAATTTTACATCTATTCAGATGGTTCACACACACACACACACAACTCTCTCACAACTTGCTCACACACAACCTTCTCACACAGAACTCTCTCACCCGATCTGTCTTCCACCATCTCCTTTCTCTCTCCTGCCTTTCCCATCCTGTCTTCACCTTTCTTTTGCTACTTATTGGAAGAAGTTGACATGTGGGGTTATCCCGTCCTTTATTGCCTCGCCTCATCACCCAATTTGGCCGATTTGCCCATCTCGCACGGATCCGGGGACCTCCCAGCAATGGAGACAGAGAGTACTGGCCGAAGGCAGTCCCCGCGGGCTCCTTCCTTAAGTTGGATCGGCAGTGTAGCTTGACTTGGGAATACTTGGGATATGCTTTCTCAAGGAATAGTACAAGTCACCCCACATCTGGAGATATAGGACTCGTTTGACTTCATGCCGGCAAGGCTTCCAGCTTTAGCACTAGCAAACCTCTCGTACTCTTCAGACTCTTTGTATGGAGCCAAAGCACCTTCTCGAATGTGCAACAGCTTCGAATTATGACATATCGTGACTACAAACGATAATCGCTTGAAGAAGGCGCCTGAAACCAACTCCACTGAGCGCTTCTGTCTGACCTTGTCAGGCTGCCAGGGACACGTTGTATCCTGTTGCAGGTGGGTCCAAACAGACCTCAGGCGTTGA